ATAAATTTTCTTAGTGGTGGAGAGGAGGGTGCACATGAGAGGTACTAGAAGAATGTTTTTGAAGATGGAGTCACTCTAGAGCTTGCGTAAAGCTGGGAGCAATGCCTATGCAACCTAATTGTTGCATGGGCTGCCCCAAATAATTGACGTGGTCATCGGTCTGTCCATGACCCAATTACAAGAGGCATGGGTTCATCACTGCTCACATCCATCATTGCTCGTAGCCATCGCCGGCATCGTCTGGCACCTTTGAGACCCCACTCTTGGTGCTAGAAGAATGTTTTTGAGGTGGTTGTGTTATAATGCGTTGTAGTCTTTGACGCTAACATCGACCTGTTTGCAAAAAAGATCTTTCTTATCGTATATGTACTTTTATTTTGAGGTCTTTGTTTCATATATGTAATTTTGTTTCTAAGGTCTTAGTTATCTTGTGTTTTATTTATGTAGCCTAAATATTTTTTGGGTGAATATACATCTATTGACAGATTTGACTACAACAAATCTATCAGATTTTTGGCCAATCAAAAAAACATCCCACCAAAAGAAAATCTGACAGATAATACACATATAAATCTGTCGACAGTTCTGTTGGCTTTATATCTGTTGAATTTTGCGTTTGAGTTTTGAACCTTGTAGTACAAAGGTTATAATGTTATAGTTCAGAGTTTTGAACCAAGCTATACAAAGTTTGTAATGTCATAGTTAAAAGTTTATAAATCCTGAGTGTTTTGAACCTAGCAACACAAAGTTTATAATGTTATAGTTCAAAATTTTGTACCTTGAAGTACAAGATATTTTGACAGATTTTGACAGGACAAATCTGTCAGCTAATAGCTAGGCAGTCCGCCAAGAGGACAGCATGAATCTTCAAACAAAATGAACGGCCCAGCTAACAGATATGAATCAACATTCTCTGTCGACAGAAATATAGCAATTTTCATATTATTTCCTACGTGTGCCCCTAAATTCTTCTCATGATTTGTAAGATCGTTGCTATTATCTATACCGGCCAGTATTTCCTTAACATTTTTCCATGGACCTGTACGTTAGTTAATAATGATAGTTAAAAACCGAAGAAAAATAAATTATTTTCCAACAATCTAGATGCCTTAATTATATTTTCACCAAAACAAACCCTATAGTTGCGACAATATATATGAGGCTGCAAGATGCTCGATGCGACAATATATTAGTTGCATTCTCTTTTTTTTTCCAAAGATGATTTAATAGAGAAGTCATGGGACCTAACTATGAGTGGAAAACTTTATTGTATATATACACTTGGAATTGATGACTATGTTGGATTGAAATAAATATTGCTTTTTTCATGAATGGAATTATAATTGCATGTGATTTATATTTGGGTTCATTTCAATTTTTATAAATAAAAACAATTCACTCACAGGAAATATATGGCGCGAAATTCAGAATTTTTAAAAACAATTCACTGGCGGTTTTGCTAATAAACCGCCTTTGGAAAATATATTCCAAAGGCGCCTACTTTAGGTGAACTGCCTATGTAAAAAGAGTTACCACCTAAATCAACCCCCACTGTTAATGGATATACACTGACGGTTGCTTTAGGTGAACCGTCAGTGTAAATCTCATTAACTCTGGCGGTTGATTAAATGAATCGTCCATGTAAATATGTTAACACTGGCGCATATTAAGTAAGCGCCTATAATATTTGTGATTTCCACTGGCCTTTCACACTGGTGGTGGTGATAGACGCCAGTAGAAATAGGTCTGGAACTGCTTGTGATGAGCTCCGCTGTACTAGTGACAAGATTCTATCAAGAAGCAAGGCAAATGGTGATAAACACCACTCTAGCTATAATCAATGGTATGCTTGGATCTAGTGGATTCAATTGGGATTAAAAAAATTTATATGTTGGTAGTGATGTTGTTTCCGAAGAATACATTGAGGTTAGCTAATTCATGACCAACTATAATCATGAGACAAGTCCAACTCAATTCTCCCTTTGTTCTAGCATTAGTATCCTTCTTTCTTTTTTATTTCTTGTATTCCTAGAACCTTACAAAACATGTGAACAAATATTAATGTGCATGTTAGTAATAGTGATTGAGCTATCATCAAAGATAGAGAAATTCATACAAAATCATGCACGTAGACACATGATCCTATTCTAAGTACTTGAAATGGTCACTATTCAGCACCATATATAACTTGAACAGTACCACCGGATCATGCGGAGACACTACATACTCAGCACTTGACATGCTCAAAGGATAGCACCGGATAAATGAACACTATCACCAGATCGTGTGTAGTGACACTATTTTAATTAGTATGTTGTCTTCTCGATTTTTTGGCCATATCGTTTTCACTAAACTCCGATATTATTGATTTTGGACATCTAGGAAAGCTTGTGAAAATATATACAACTAGAACTGGATATGATACCAATGACCAGCTATAAATTCATGAGACAAGGACAATTCAATCCTCCCTTTGTCCTAACATTAATACCCTTCTTTCATTTTGGTTTCTTGCATCCCTACAACCTTACAAAACGTCAAAACCTGTGAACACATATTAATATTCATGTTAATATCATAGTGATTTAGCTATCATCAAGATAGCCAAAATCATACATAATCATGTACATGGACACATGATCCTTAGAGTATCATCTGCTTTCATTTTCATAGTATAGTATCATTTCCAATCGTTTTCATCCCTAGATATATGTGTATAATTTTGGATTCATATTTTGCGTAATGGCAGCGCTGCTGGTTAATTTATCAATATTTATACTAGGCCTTGAAGATTAACTTGGAGGCTTCTTTTCTTAAAAAACTAAATAATAGATCTATAGTAAGCCACTTTCTCCCGCCCACCATTACTACATGGGTGTGGACCCCACACCATGCATTGAAGTTGAAGACATATGTATATAACTGACGCATGTTGCCACCAAAGAATCCCCACACATAGACCTTTCTCCTAGTGTATATATAGGGAGTGCACCGTCTTACTCCCTCCATTCTAAAATAGAATGAACTTTTTGTTGCTAAGTCAATCCATTCTAAGTTTGACTGGATTTGTAAAAAGGAATAATAACATTTATAATACCAATGAGCTTCATTAGGTATATTATGAAATGTATTTTCATAATTTTCCATTTTTTTGTGGTAGATGTTACTACTCTTCTCTAAAACCTTAGTTAAACTTAGAAAAGGTTTGAGTTGCGATATTTAAAAGTCCTTTGTATTTGAGGACCGCGAGATCGCGAGTCTCGTAAAATTTGGTGGTTGATATATTTCAGATGCCTAAAATTTAAGGATATTTCAGGTGACTGGTGAGCGGTTGCAACATAAAAACCCCATATCTAAAGCATCAAGAAACATCTGCAACATTAATGTGGGAGCTGAATATGCATCATGTTACACATTTTTCTGCAACATGGAAGGGCAATATCTACTACACTAATATGGGAGTTCCATATGTTTTTGCTCGATCTTTTTGCCTACAACATCCAAAAGAAATATGTACAACATCGGACAACAATATATGCAACACAAAAGAAAAGTATCTTGCACATTGAATATGTTACCTGAAACAATCATAAAGTTTACGCACCTGACATATAGTAAAAGAGAATTTCAATGTTATAGGTGTGTAAAATTTAATATTTTTTGGTAGACTGGTTGTGAGTTGTGACGTAAAAAATAAACATTGGAAACACAAAAGAACAATGCAACATCAACGTGGGGGCTGCAATATGATGTTTCAAGTTCTATTCATGATTTTATCGCAAAAAAAAAAGTTCTATTCATGATTCTTGCTGAATGACAAATCTGTATTATCAGAGAACAATGTTTACAACTAGAGGTTGCGTTCAAAACAAAGAGAAAGTTTAGCAAAGTGTCATGCGAAGTTTAGATATGTAATTCTTATATTAATTGAGCAATGAGAAAAATATAATCCTCATATGCCAACTTATCCAGAAAGTTGAATAGTTCACTTTCTCAACTAGAAGAACATCAAATTTATCACAGGTGTGCATCTTTTGATGACGCTTTCACATGATTTTTTCACTGCTTACTCATGAACAGCAGGAATTTGTAATCAAATTCCATGAAACAAGTAGAATTTATTCTCTTAAACCCTTAGACATCTCTGCCATTTGTTGGACGACTCCTTCACTGTCTAAACCTGTCATCTTCATCAATCATCAGAGTCTGTGTACACCACCACTGGGCTCCTCACTTGGTGCTCGTTGTCAGACCACACGATGGCTGCCGAGATGACCAGGCCAGCCGCGGGCACCACGCCGGACACCGTCATGGTAAACGAGGCCTTCGGCGTCTGCGTGTTGAACTCCAGCCTACTCGGCGCCACAGCAACCGCGAGGTTATCCGCTGGATCGGTAAAAATTACCTTCATGTCATACATGGAGGCCACACCTGAAGCTCCGACGTTAGTGATGGTCCGTGGGAAGACCAAGGTGAAGTTCTTCGCAGGATCCACTCGCGCAGCCATGCTCGGGTAGTTGAGGTCACTGGCGGAGGCGGCTGCCATCGTCGTGGACCCGTTGGAGCCGACGATGAGCGCGAGCTGCGTGGCGTTGTACCCCTGCGTGCACAGCATGGCGATGTAGTCACCTTCCGACGCGTCGTACACGAGCCCAGGGTCACGTGCCTTGGTTGGGTTGAGCTGCCCAGCGCCGTACTTGAGGTCGTTTGTTCCGGCATTGCCCGGCGTGTTCATCGGAGTGGACGTAGTGATGAGAGCTGACATGATCATCGCCGGAGACCAGTCGCGGTGGACAGACTTGACATAGGCTGCGGCGCCGGTTGCATGTGGGCACGCCATGGATGTGCCAGTGTTAACACTGTACTGCCCCTCCTTTGATCGTTGGGATCGTCCGACGGCGGTGACAGTAGAGATCATGAGGTTATGATGTCCACTCCCGGTGCAGATAGATCAGACTGTAAATGGATTATGTCGATCTGTTAAATTAATTATTCATGCATTACTCCAAAAGACTATCAGCTGATTGAATGACCTTGAGGATATCAGGAGTGGCAATGTTTGGGCCAGGAGAAGAGAATGAGGCGGACATTGGAGCTTGTGCGTTCACCGTCGTGACAGTTGTTTCTATGGTACCCACTGGGTTGCTGAAAATCAGACCAAAGATTTAACGCCAGACATTTTTTTTTCGAGAACGTGCATAGCAGTTCATCAGCGAATTAATAAGCAATGGTCAATAGTGAAGTACTCACCTAGTGCTGTTGGCATAGGCCATGATCTCATCGAACTGGTTCTCAGATACCACAAGCGTGGGTAATGGATAGATGAAGGCGGCATCTGGTGCTGCGCCAGCAGCAATGGCTCCTGCTGCACCGGCCAAAGCGGACCAGCTGATATATTGGTTCGAAAGCCACCCTCGAGCGGGCAGAGGAGGATCTTCCCTTTGTATGAATCTCCAACGAGATAATATGGATCACAAGAACTGCAGTTCGAAAGAAGCAAAACCGTTAATGCTAGACAACAAGAGTCTATATATCCATTAATATAATGAAATTCCTTGTATGTCCTCGTATTAATTAATGACCCATTGATGGGGATTGCGAGTGTCACATTGTTAACCGGAGGAAAGGTGTTTATGGATGATCCCTGCGTGAAAAGTATATCAGAGCCATGTAGTCAAGGTTAATTTCGAATGTTATCAGAGACGACGTTTCTGTCGTTCGAGCACCCACCACTATGGTCTTGCCGTTCCCCAGCACGACCCTGTCGACGAACCGGCGGTCGATGCTGCTGGCGGCGACGGACAGCATTCACGGCGCGACTTTGCAGACGCGGCCGCCCCTAAGCCTGGAGTGTTGCCACAGGATCACCGGCTCAGGTGAGTGAACCACTCATCAATCTTGCCGAGCACTCGCTAGTGTTGCCGAGCACCCACTAGCCGTGCCGACCATGAACAAGCGTTGTCCGTCCCCACACACTATGGTTAGAGCTTGAAGAAGGAGGAAGAATAGAGCATACACACAATACAAGACACCAGCGTTGACCGAAGCCCTGTATGGGAGATGGCAAATCTGAACTCTCTTTACTGAGTTGCCGTGGTAGTCTATTTATACAACTCCATCCATCTAGTCCCAGTACAGCTGCCCTGCTGCAACAGTGACTAGATAACATATATGGCTGACTCTGCGCCGGTCTCTGCATGTGCCTACAGTTCTGCAAGTGAGCCGTGCGGCGCCTGCACCTGCAGCGGCTACAGTATCACAGCAGGGGGTCTTTTCTGCACCGCCTTCCCTTGCTGTGTTCACACAAGAAAAACATTAGCTTATTCTAACAATTCTTCCCCTAATCCTAATGCTAACCCTTGTACCCTCTCTATACCGATCATCTCCTTCAGCTCCGTGAGTCGAAGAAGTTCGAGCGGCTTAGTGAGGACGTCCGCGAGTTGCTGAACAGTTTCGATGACCTCGATGACGATCTGCCCTCCATCGACACAGTCCCTAAGGAAGTGGAACTTCACATCGATGTGTTTACCCCAGTCGTGCAGAACTGGATTCTTCGTGAGGGCGATGGCGGGCTGGTTGTCCACCATCAGTGTTGGTGGGTGAGCTTCCACGCCGGTTAGCTCGCCCAGCAGCCGGCGCAGCCACACAACTTGGCATGCCCCTGTGGCCGCCGCTACTTACTCTGCCTCGCACGTAGATAGCGCCACCACCTTTTGTTTTAGTGACAGCCATGAAATTGGGGTCGACCCAAGGAAGACGAGCACGCCAGAGGTGCTCCATCGTCCGTCGATGTCCCCACCATGTCTGCATTGCTGAACACAGTGAGCTGCAGCCTACTCCCGCCGGTCTTGGGAAAGATGATACTCTGATCCACCGTCCTCTTAACGTAGCGCAGTAGCCGCTTCACCGTAGCCCAGTGATCCTCTCTAGGATCCTCCATGAAGCGATTGACGTAGCCCACGGCAAATGCGATGTCCGGCCTCGTGTGGACTAGGTAGCGTAGACCGCCGACGATGCTTCGGTAGAGTGTCACATCCACCTTCGCCGCGGTGCTGGCCTTCGTCAGCTTCAGCCGCTCCTCTATCGGAGTCACACATGGCTTGCACTCAGCCATGCCGCTCCTCTCCAATAGCTTGGAGGCATACGTGCTCTGACCGAGCGTGGTCCTTCCCCTATCTCACCTTGATGCTAAGGTAGTAGGAGAGTGTGCCGAGATCGCTCATTCGAAAACGAGCCGCTATCTCGTACTTGAAGCTATTGATGTCCTCCGTGCGCGCGTCGGTGACGATTAAGTCATCCACATACACGCCGACGATGAGCTCCTCCTTCCCCCGTCGCCACGTGTAGAGCGCGTGCTCGGTTGCGCACCGCTGAAACCCAAGCTCGCCCAGCGTGGCATCAAGCTTGGCGTTCCATGCTCGTGAGGCCTGCCGCAGGCCGTAGAGCGCCTTGCGCAGTCGGAGCACCCTGTGCTCCTCTCCCTTGACGGCGAAACCTAGAGGTTGCCTGACGAAGACCGTCTCCGCTAGCTCGCCGTTGAGGAAGGCCGATTTAACGTCCAAGTGATGGACGCGCCAGTCCTTTGCAGTTGTCAAAGCTAGTAGCAAACGGACCGACTCCATGCGCGCTACCGGCGCAAAGACTTACTTGAAGTCGATGCCCTCGCGCTGTACAAAGCCTTGGGCCACGAGGCGCGCCTTGTGCTTGACAACGACGTCGTGCTCGTCCCGCTTGACCTTGTACACCCACTTCAGGCTGATCGGACGGCATCCTGGAGGTGGATCGACGAGCTGCCAAGTCTCATTTTCCTCGATCGCCTTCATCTCCTCCAGCATCGTCCTTTGCCAGTTTCCGTCCCGCTCGACCAGCGCGAATGTGGGTGGTTCCTCTGCACTGACGAGTAGTAGCTCTACGTCATTGAGCAGCCGACCAACCATTCCTGAGGGTCCTGTGCCGCCAATGATGTTGTCTAGCTTGTGGAACCGCACCTCCTCATCTTCGTGGTAGGCGTCTATGAACTCAGTGATGTCATTTGGCGGTGAGGCAAACTCAATAAGCATTGATGGAGTTCCCTGTTCCACCAGAGTGCTCGACATAGCACCTTGAGTGCTTGGCACCCTGGTTGCAGTGCTCGGCACTACTTCTGGACAGCTCGTCATAACTCCTGCAGTGTTCGACCACACTATAGGAGTGCCCAGCCTCAGTCTTGGAATGGTTGACACCACTGTAAGACGTCTTGGCTCCGCCATGGGAGTGCTCGGCACCCGTCCTGGAGTGGTCGCTACCACTGCAGAACCTCCCGGCACCACTCCTAGCATGCTCGACGTCCCTTCAGGAGTGCTTGGCACTCCTCCCAGAGTGCTCGGCATCCCTCCCGAAGTGCTCGGCATGCCCTAGGAGTGCTCGGCTCTACTGCCGGAGTGCTCGGCACCTCTTCCCCAGCATCTCCACCATCGTGGATGACCAAGTGTTCGACGACGAAGGTGCTGGTGAAGCCGCCAGCTTCCCCCATGCTCGGACTGCTCCAGTCCCAAGCCGCCTCCTCATCGAACACGACGTCGCGCGAGACAAGCACCTTGTCTCCACGTGGGTCATAGAGCCGGTACGCCTTGGTACCCTTCGCATAGCCCAGGAACACCATGGGTGTGCTCTGTCCTCCAGCTTGGTGAGGTTTGGCTTCGTCTTCCTGATGTGGCCGATGCAGCCGAATGTCCGGAGGAAGGACATGCTCGGCTTACGCCCATACCAAGCTTCGAATGACGTCTTGCCTGTCAGGGCCTTGGTCGGAGAGCAGTTGAGGATGAACACCGCCGTGGTCACCGCCTCTCCCTAGAACCTTGCCGGCATGCCTTTGGCCTTCATCATGGATCGGGCCATACCGACCACCGTTTTGTTCCGCCTCTCCACCATGCCATTCTGTTGTGGCGAGTACGGCACGGTGTGGTGTTGCCCCACACCCTGATCCGCGTAGTACGCAGCGAACTCCACCGAAGTGAATTCGCCACCGCGATCAGTTCTCAGCACACGGAGCTTCTTGCCGCTCTTGGCCTCCGCGTGCATCTTGAACTTCTTGATCGCCGCTGTCACTTTGTCCTTGCTCATCAAGAGTTGCAGCCACATGTAGTGACTGCAATCATCCACAAGCAGGAGGAAGTACCGCCGACCACCATTTGTAGCAGGCGTGATCGGCCCACAGAGGTCACCGTGGATGAGCTCGAGAGCGTCCTTCGTGCAATACTTGGCCACCTTTGGGAATGGTAGCCTCCTCTACTTCTCGGCCAGGCAGTTGTCACATAGCTCGCCTCCGTGCTTGATTTGGGGTAGCCCTCGGACCATCTTCTCTAGCCGACCAAGCGAGTCGAAGCTAAGATGTCCGAACCAGGCATGCCACATCCATGGTTCCTCGGAGTGCCTTGCCACCAGGCACACTAGCTGCTCTACCTTCAGGTCGAGCAGGTACAACCGGTTCAGGGACCTCTTCACCTTGGCGAGAAGTCGCTGCTCCCGGTCCCTGATCCTAAGGACTCCGTCCTTGATCAATACCTCACTACCGCACTCATCCAGTTGACCAATGCTAATGATGCTGGAACACAGCTACGGGATGTAATATACATCCGTTAGCGCGCGGTGCTCCCCATTTTGGCATCTGAAGATGATGGTGCCGCGCCCTTGGATAGCCACCCTTGAGCCTTCACCAAACTTCACCGTACCGGTAACATCATCATCGAGCTCGGAGAAGGATTCCTTGGAGCCCGTCATGTGGTTACTGGCACCAGAGTCCAGATATCACCGCTGCTCCTGGTCGGCGCCCACACGTCTGAGGTGGACTTGGGCGCGTGGTTCGTCGAGGTTGACAGTCTTCAGGGCCTTCCTAGGTCCTTCCACCATCGTCACCTCTTCCTTCTCCTCGGCCTCGACATCGTGCAGTGCACAGAACGTCGCCATCAGGATAGTAGCTTCATCCTCATCATCGGCTTGCGCCAGATGAGCCTGAGCCTTCTTCTCCTGCTTGCGGTTTGGGCACTCCCGTGCCCAATGGCCCATCTTCCCGCAGCGCCGACAGGCGTTGGGGTCGACCTGCTTCTTCTTCTCCGAAGAAGCCCTGCCGCGGCGGTTGCCATCGCCACCGCGGCTGGAGGAGGCTGCCTTCTCGGAGTTCTTCCGAGCAGCCCACTCCTCTTCTATCAGCAGGAGTCTCTCACTGTCCTTCGTTGCTGTCACCTACTCCAAGTGCTCGTCCACCACCCGTAGATGGCCTGTCACATCCTCAATGGTGAGGGTGGATAAGTCCAGCATCATCTCTATGGAGAGAGCGATCTGGATGTACTTTGCCATTACGGAGTGGAGGTACTTGGAGACTGCCTCCTCTTCATTGATGGTGACGCCATGGCTATTCAGCTTGCTGATGAGCGTTTGTAGTAGGAGGGAGAAGTCCTCCACCGTTTCACCATCTTTGAACTTGAGGTTGGCATACTCCTGCTTCAGAAGTTGGGCCGTTGCCTTCTTTGTGCGGTCGAAACCGATGCGCATTGCCGTAATAGCCTCCCACGCCTCCTTAGCCGAGCTCTTCGCCCCCAACGGCTCCCTGTACTCCGTCGGTACAGCAGCGAGGATAGCCTCTAACGCTGACATGTCATCTTCTTCACTGTCGGTGCCCTTGTCAATAGCATTCTAGAGCCGTCGGGCTCTGAGCTTGACCTTCATAGTCACCGACCACTCTCCATAGTTGGTGCGAGTCAGCATCGGCCAACTGGTGCCGCTGACCTCCCGCACCGTGCGAACAACGACCTCCGGTCGTAGCTGGGCAGCCACTGCTGTCACCCATCTCCGAACCGCCCATCATCGCCAGCGGTTAGTCTGGCGACGGCGTTTGTACGGCTCTGATACCACTTGTTGTTCCACAGGATAACCGGCTCAGGTGAGTGAACCACTCACCAATCTTGCCGAGCACTCGCTAGTGTTGCCGAGCACCCACTAGCCGTGCTGACCACGAACAAGCATTGTCCGTCCCCACACACTATGGCTAGAGCTTGAAGAAGGAGGGAGAACAGAGCATACACACACAGTACAAGACACCAGCGTTGGCCGAAGCCCTGTATTGGACATGGCAAATCTGAACTCTCTTTAATGAGTTGCCGTGGTAGTCTATTTATACAAGTCTATCCATCTAGTTCTAGTACGGCTGCCCTGCTACAATAGTGACTAGATAACATCCAGGGCTGACTCTGCGCCAGCCTCTGCATGTGCCTACAGTGCTGCAGATGAGCCGTGCAGCGCCTGCACCTGCAGCGGCTACAATATCACAGCAGGGGGCCTTTTTGGCGCCGCCTTCCCTTTCTGTGTTCACACAAGAAAAGCAGTAGATTATTCTAACACGGAGTTGCTGCCCGATGCGGACATGACCATGCCGTGCCTCATGGCGTGGAACGAGCCCGCGCTATTGAAGTATTTGACGGGGAACCTGTACCCGATGGAGATGGAGATGACGTCGACTGCGTCAGCGATGGCGATGTCGAACGCCGCTAGCATGTCCGTCTCCCAGCAGGACCCGCCATCCCAGCACACCTTGTAGATGGCGAGCCTGGCGCCTGGAACCGCTCCGCGTGCCACGCCGGTAGCCAGCCCGCCGAAGCTGACGTTGCCCACGGCCTGGCCGGCCGCGGTGGATGCCGTGTGGCTCCCGTGGCCCAGCTTGTCCACCGGCGACAAGCCAGTGGTCCCCCCATAATAGTGATACAACCGAGCGCCGATAAGTTTGCTGCACGACATCAAATGTGCTTCATCAGTAGGTGTTAAGGTCGCACTAAATCATGGTTTTCTCTGCTAATATAAAGAAAATGACATCTTCCATTCCATACTTGTTGCATGTGAAGTTTTGACAGTCGCCCTTCCACCTGCTTGGCGGCGGGCCAAAGCCGTCGTCGGAGAATGACGGGGAGTCCAGCCATATGCCAGTGTCGAGTATACCGATAATGACGTCTCCCTCCAAGGCTAGCTCTTCTTGCGGTGGTTGAGGCGTGCCCAAAAAGTCCCACGATCCTGTGGTTTGGAGCTCGTGGGTTTTGCTTGGGAAGACTGACATGACCCCCTCCATGTCTGAATTGTAAAGCCAACAAGTCAAGAATTGAGTAATTGAGATCATCCATTTCTGGAGTTCATAGAGCTGAGGCGTTTGGCTTGAAAAATTGGGAGCGAATCAGTTATTCAGGATCTAGAGCTGTGTGGAGCTCTACCAAACAACCCCATATGATCTTTGCCTCCTATATATATATAGATGTAGCAGGGCACTAGTACTATTAAATGTTCACCGTTAGACACTAAAACTTTTTCATGTTTGCCTTGTTGGCCCGTTGTGTTGACTTCTCGGCCAAGGCATGAACTTACTACCTCCTAGTTGTGTCGTGTCAGCATAACAAACACGGCAGCCCAGTGGGCCCGTGCTAGCATAGCTATTATAGGACTCATGCGTCGTTGCTGCATGCTTTGTGCCACCACCGTCGTTGTCGTCGTGCCTTGCATGCCATTGTTGCTCCCAAGTCGTTTCTACCTGTGCCGTCCGCCTCCATTGAGAGAGGCCGGGAGCGGTGGCTGGTGCCCTAGGGTGGGAGGGAGCTACCAAGCTAGGCGGATGGAGGTGGGGTGGTCATGGAGGCGGAGAGCGAATGCGGTGGTAGCAGTAGTAGAGCATGGTGAATCATGGTGGGTTGTTGTCCCGGCCATCAGTGGAGGGTGGTGATTCATATTTTATATATATCTAGAGTTAAGGAGGGATTGGACCGGTCCATTGGTTGTGCCGTTCTCGTGCTAGCACTACGGGCCAGGTGGCTGGCAGAAGCACCATACTATGCATCAGGCCAGGCCAACACTTGCTCTTTCCGTCGGGCCATGCTAGGCTAGGTCTGGGCTTTAGGACCATGCCTAGCTCTACTAGATGGACCCAACCTATTTGGGCATGTCCTCATCGTGCTTTTTTCCATTCAAAATGGTATGTCTCATCGTGTTCTTGCACATGTACATCCCTAAGCTTAAGTCTCTTCTTTTGGGGTTACTCTTGCTGGCATGACTATGTTTTGTGCAACCATTAACAACGGCAAATGTATATCCAAATAGATGTAGGAGTACTTTGTGATATTTCTTATAATGAAAGTAATGGGTAATATAATTCATATATAGATTTCGGGTTACTTTAGGTTAATAATGACAAAGGCGGGTAATTTATATGCAAAATTTAAGGATCAGTTTAGATTATTTTTCATAATGTCATTGGTGCATATTTAGATGAAGATTGGGTGTAATGTAAATTATTATAATGTCAGAAGTGGGTTGTTTAGATAAATGTTTAGGGAGTTGCTTTATACTACTTTCATAATAGAAGAGGTAGATAATTCTCTAAATAAATAATAGAATATATCCAATTACTACTATTGTTAGATGAGATTAGAGCCTACCAACCTGATGGTGAGATGTCCCTGTTTTTTTATAGATCTTTTAGCATCTATCTAGCTTTTTTCAAGGATTAATGTGGAGGGTTGAAAAGAGTTTGTAATTAGGGATAGTCAGATATATGCATATCCCACCGAAATTTATTATCTGTTTATTAGCTCCCTCTTCAGTGAAATAACCTGATTGGTGCCGTTGATTTTTGCATTTTAAAAACTGTTGTTTCAAAAAAAATGGGGAGGGGTGGGATTGGATCCATACCAGCTAGTTTATTTGCCTGTTGTTCAGTTAGCCTGGCTGCGAAGCCATTTAAGCTTCTCTTGTAACTACGGATGATCCTGTCCGAAGTGTAGTTGCAAAAAGACAAATTAAAGCAAAGGTTTACACTCAACTTTGGTTTTATTTTGTTATAGAAAGAATCCTTGAACGTGATCGGCCATGACAAACAACGCCCCAAACGCGACGACAAAGTCTAGCATGATCTGTTCTGAAATACCGTATAGATAGGTCAGGTCCAATTAAAAAGCGATTATATGTTATCAGACCTGCCGTCGTCAAGGATCTGGTTAAGCAGGTCGTGATGAGCAGCTTCTAAGGAAGATGAGCCTTCATCAGGCTCCGACGACGTATCCGATTCCGAGCTGGGCAGGTGCCCCAGGTACACGATGTAGTCCTGAACATTTCACAAGAAATGCAATCACAAAATCACATGTTATTACACTTGAAAAAAAAATCACATGTTACTACAGTAGATGCATGAGCAGTCATATGCATGCTCGCAGATGGATGATCTGTCTGACCTGCTCTCCGTTGCTGCCACTGCTGCTGATGATGGATCCAGAGGCGCTCACGCTCTCTGTGAAGACAGCGAGGAGAAGAAGACCAATGCTGAGACGGCGCATTGGATCGTCGATCGTCTTGTCATATGTGTGTACGTGATGAAGAAGCTTGGGTCGTTCTTGTTCAGCTTCAGCACATGAACTCCGATCCGATGGTAGGATTCTCCATATGTTTATATATACTTGCACAGCTTGCAGGGTTGCGTTGCTCGCTCCGACTCCGTAGCTTTGTATTTGTTCTGTAGTGTAGATCACAAGCAGTATATAAGAACAAGGGAATTGACATGAGCCGTGTGCTAGAGATCGATGTGCCTACTTCATGCCACGTAAACTCCTATCTCAGATTCTTAGAACATATGTTCGGAGCTATCTAGGGGTAGGGGGTTAAACTAGGATTTAACTGGAAGCTGTTTCCATTCAGTTCCTATCATGTACCCTACTTTCATAGCAATACGTGATGATTTTGTTGTTTCCTACGATGGTTTAATTTTTCTCAAATCGATCACTAGTCCATCAAAACACATCACTATGCCAAAACAACATAAAGATGGCATCCAATTCATATATAGACGTATGAGATTAGAGACAGGTCTAGTCTCACTACTACAGAAAACATTTTTAGTGCTAGCACTTTCACAGCCAGATTTATTAAAACCAGCGGTTTGGGCCAACGGTTCATATTAGCGAAAATGGGTCTCAGCAACCACACTGGTTCATGTTAACAATCGGCTGTGATGATGGCCTCCTTATCACCGCCGGCTTGTTGTATGATCTGGTGGTTTCACCACTAGCACATCGTATGATCTTGCGGTGATAACTATACTGTAGCATAGTAAATCTATGACTTTTTCAAACAAAGTAGGATATACACAAGCTTTATATCTAAGTTCACTACCGGACTCCTTGAGTTTGCCGAGTGCCCGAAACACTCGGCAACTTGTTCGCCGAGTGTAACACTCGGCGAATAGCACTCGCCATAAACAGTTCTGGCAAAGCTAACTTTGCCGAGTGCCATTTATCGGGCACTCAGCAAACATTTTGCCGTGTGCAGTTTGGCTCTCGGCGAAAAGAAACGGTCATAACGCCAGACCCGCCGTTAACAGCGACTTCGCCGAGTGTCAAACGGGAAGGCACTCGGCAACTAATTTTTTTTAAAATATTTTTGATTTTTAGAATTCCTTGTCGCCGAGTGCTGCACTCGGCAAATTGTAAACATATGCCGAGTGTCGCACTGTCAGACACTCGGCAAACATTTTTGAAACAGTATTTGGTTTTTTTTTAAAAAATCTTTTCACCGAGTGTCTTGGTGATAACACTCGGCAAATTGTGTTTACTTTGCCGAGTGTCTTGGTCATAACACTCGGCAAAGCCTTAGAAATCTGAATTTTTTTTGTTTTTGCATTACATTTCACAGCACATATATATATCACAGCACAGATATGTTTCACAACACAGATATATTACACAGCACATATATATATCATCTCCACATATCACATACATCACAATAATCCACAATGGTACACAAATGTCATACCACAATACCAACATAAGGTTCGAGTTTAAAGTATCCACCACAAGTGCATTACAAGCATAAGTGCAACACAAGGAATAAGTTCAACACATGAAAAGAAGCAAATCACCAATTAGACCACGGCGACTGCTGCGGTGGATCATGAGGTACATCGTTTGATGCCGCCGATTGACCCTGCACAAAGAATATATAAGATTACTTGATAGCTGCAAAAGGAATTGTTGAGACATATATAGCTAGTTGCATTGCAATTCAAAAGGCAATAGAACAAATACAACTGTGTGTGTGTGTGAGTATATAGCTAGTAGCATCGCTGGAGCCACCGTCCGCTCTGTTTTTGCTGGTGACTGGTGAGCACCGCCACCGAGCACGGTCTCGTTTCCCCCGGGGACATGATTAGCACCCGTCCGGTCCGGTCTACATTTCCTGGCTTCAGGATTCAGCAATGTCCTGGCTTTGAGTGCGACCCACCAATTCGACGCCGTACCTCTGTCTGTCCTTGAACTTGAATCACAGCAGGCCACGCACCTGCTGGCTTATTTGTTGGTGCAACAAGCCGCAAAGGGCTAGTGCGTCTGCAGGGCCATTGGCGTAGCCGTAGTGGTATACTCCTGTCTGTGCTTCCATTGCTTTGAATTTCTTCCCACATTCCAATTGCACGTACAACCAATCATCTGGACTACGCGGCCAGAAGAAGAGTGGGAGTATCGAAGGTATAATATACATACTACTACTGTGGTCAAACATATAGCTCCACTACCACTATTTTCTTGCTCCATTAAAAAATGTAGGGCATATTAGGCCAGCACTGTCTCCGTCGCCTCTAGCACCAGATCCTGACCCCTTCTTCTCTTACTCTCCAAGTTTCGCTGTCCGGGAGGATGAGACAATGGCCAAGTCCACATGCACTCACGTCGCCGGCAGCATGTGGATCTTAATGCCAATGCGGAAGAGGGGGAGGGAGCGGAGTTGATTGGGTTGGGAAACGAGGTGTAGAGATGAGCTCCCCTCACCAGATTCAGGGCGACAAAGATCAGGCCGTCTCGACCAGTGGTTGAGGGGGAGGGAGCGGAGTTGATTTTGTTGGCTAAATACTATGATAATATGTTGGTTTTGTAGCGACTGTTAACAAATTCTAAGCTAAGTTTAATGGTCAATGCATACTTGAAAATACTTTCTAGAAAGGCAAACAATTGCTATCCCTTAAGTTGTAACCACTACATCTACTGATCTACCCTTCCCGTGCACACACCATTTTGGATGATGATTTTTTTTCTGCGAGGAATTGTAGGTGCTGATTCTTATTTGTTTTCTGACACAACCTGCGGGACTGTTTTGCACTAATAAATAGAAAAAAGGGAATTGTCGATGTACTCACAGGAGTGTCTTCAGGAGGACGAGGAGGAAGGAATAGCGCTTGTGGCAGAGGTTCACCCATCTTCGCGCCAAGACTTTGCATCCACTGAAACATCTACTCCTGCCTCTGCCGATCAGCGTCAATCTTCGCCTCCAACGCTATTCTCTGCCTCCTCTCTTCTTCTAGCTCGGCCTACAAAATTTCACCCCAATGTTACAATGGAAATCAAAGGTACGTAAGAAACAATGAACGACGAATAAAAGAGTAATAACTTGCAAAGTCTGCATGGCGTGCTGTGTACTAGTCGACCGTGGGCGTATGGGCGGCCTTTGGCCCGTGTGGCTTGCTCGGATCTGGGAGAGAGTGGGAGTAGTGGCCGTGTCGCCAAGCCAGTACCTGCCATGCTTCTTGCCTCCTCCCACCCTCATGACAAGGTCTCCTTCGAAATCCTGGGTGCTCGGATCGTACTCCGGCCCATGGACCGCCTTGGCCGCCGTTGTGTACTCGGTGAGACGGCTGTGGATGGAGGTATTGCTGTACGCCGAGGGGGGGTCCTCCGGGTTGAAGTCGATGGCGGACATCGCCTTGCCCTTGTGGGCCATAGCCCATGGCTTCACCTAGGAGCAAGGTGCGCCACCATGTGACGCCGATTGTGAAACAAACAGTAAGATCATTAGAAACTTTGCAGAAGCAAGCGTTGGAATACATAAATGAAGTCACGTACCCATCTCTCCGCGTACTCAGCAAGGGTAAGGTTCCCCTGATGGTGTGGTGCACCTGTCATCATCAAACGTCGCTCCCGGCAAGCGGCGTGTGTCTCCGACCACTCCGGGGAGCACCACTTGTCCACCATCCTCCTCCAGCACTCGCCTTTACCGGCCACCCAATTTGGAGGCACCTACACGTCAACAAGCATTTGTCATATAAGAACACAGTAAGTGTACTTAATCTCAGGAAGAAACAATATTTACCAGCATGTATTGCTCTTTGGTCAGCGTCAAGGTTCTTGCGAGGTCTTTGTCGATCTTGACTTCCTCGAAGACAGCTTTGTATTGCTGTACAGCTAGGATACGCACCTCGTAGTGCATGTCCTTCACGAGCTTGTAGTAGGCTTTGTGAGCGTGCCTCTCGGCCCTCTCCTCGTATCCCTCGTCACATCTGTAGAAATCCTGCATATAAACATTATGTATGTAGTCATTATTTCAAGGATGTGATAGGAATGCGATGTATTGAGCAAGATAGTGCGGGGAAGGCTTACCCACAGCTCTTTCACAACCTGCTGCGCCTTGTTGTCGAATTTCCTGCCTTCCCAATCTCGTACATCGGGGGCAGAGGCGTAGTGCTCGAACGTGTAGGTCGGCTCCACCCCTCCTGCCAAGTCCACCAGGCTGGGGAAGTGTTCCCTACACAGAAGACCCAGGATTCCACCGGGAAGGCGTTTGTGATCACCTGCAGCCACAACCTTCCATCCCCTGTCCAAGTGATTAACGAAAAAATATTAGTTTGTATTTTGCCATGTTAAACATATCAAATGAAGTAGCGATAACATCTTAAGATACTTACCTTGGCCCATTGGGGCGAATCACCGGCCGTTTCGTGAAAGGTATAGGCTATTCCGGGAGGCGTGAAGGGCCTCGCAACCAGATCTTTGAAGCAGAGGAAGAGGAACCCCCCGCCGAGGGCTCCTCGTGCTCGCCCTCCTCCTCCTCGTGCTCGCCCTCCTCCTGCTGGGCCTGCTCCTTGTGCTCCTCGTGCTCGTGCTGCTCCTCCTCCACCTCCCCCTGAGGCGAGGGAGGTACAGGTGACGGCGGCCGAGTCGCTGCACGCGCCTGCCGACCCTGGCCTCTCGGCCGACCCCTGTGCCTCCGCGGCGGCTCCTCAGCTGCAGGAGCCTCCTCAGCTGTAGCGAACGCCGAGCTCTGGTAAAACGACCCGACGGACCTCATACCGCCCACCATCTTTTGTCAATCACCTACAATTAAAAAGAGTAAACCAATAAGCACATATAAACAGGACAACCTGAAAAAGAAATGCAAAATAAATGAAACATAATTAGAAAATGATAGTATTACTTGTATTAGAAATAGGCATCATGATCGGGATCAACCGGATCATAACTCTCATCATCACTATCACACATGTCGAAATAATCAACACTATCCGAAGGACCAA